TAAGCATGTGTATTCTACAATTCTCAAATGCAGAAACTCATTTTTCTTTTCTGTATGAGCTTTTAGGTGATGTTTACCAATTACATTGCCTACTTTTCTCTCTAATACCATGTTTATTCATTATTAAAATTGTAGATAGCAATATAATAGCATCTTCCAATTTGGTTTTTTTTTTAAATCTACTTTTATTTATATTAACTTTAATTTACATAAATTAAGATTTGGGGTTGGTTTTTGAAAGTTTGTTAGTTTTTATTTTATGTTATGAGCATTTGCCTGCCTGTGTGTGTTTGCATCATGGCGTGCCTGGGACCTGCAGCCTCGAACCAGCGTTGTAGATGGTCATGAGCTTCCATGAGGGTGCTGGGAACCAAGTGCTCTTAACTGCCGAGTCATCTCTTCAGGCCTGAGAAACATAAAATCTTAAATATTTTCTTTGTTTTGATTGTTTTTGTAATTAAAACTTCATCACGAGGAGCTTGCAAATAAAAACCATTATGCAGCCCGGTTAATATTATATTAGTATTAAGTATTCTCCTAAGGTATTTTTTTCTTCAAAATGTCCCATGTTACTTCTAGAAACAAGTGTTTTACAAAGTTTTTTTGTTATTAATAAAGCCAGCGAGCTTTATCTTTGTCATATACTGTCACTAATTGCTTTCTGACTACTAGGGATCATTTCTAGGGTCTTACTCATGTTGACAAGTGTCTACTACTGAGCGACTGCACCCCCACACCCCTTTTATTTTGTTTTGAGGCCTGGCCTTGCTGAGTCACTCACACTGACCTTGAGCTTGTTATGTAACCAAGGCTGGCTTTGAATTCATGACTGTCTTCACTCAGCCTCCTGAGTAACTGGCTCGCAGGCCTGCACCGTCGGACCTGGCGTCTGCTGTTCTTTAATTTTGAGCTATTTTCAACTTTTCTGCTTCTTCATGATTTAGACAAGAGAAGCTAGACAAAATCAAAACAAAAAAAAAAGAAACTCCACCAAAACAAACAAACAAACAAAAACCAACCACAGCCACAACAACAAAAACAACTCTTGGAAAATATTGTTTTCTATTTAACTAGAGCAAAGACTTAATTTATATTTTTGTAGTTACTGACATATCATTTCATAATTTTGTCTTACCTGCTTAGTTTTCATTTTCTGTGTTTTAACGCTTTCAAACACATTTAATCATTAATCATTTTAAACCATCCCCTGTTTTTGTTGATATTTGTATATTTAACTTTATTTTACTGTACAAGTTACCAGAACAATTTCAATTTTTATTAAAATTTAGTTAGAGCAACTTCACTATTTTCTTGTATCAACCTGAATTGTAGAATACTTTAAAATCTGTTTTTTCTAGTGCAGGGCTTGGTGGCACACACCTTTAATCCCAGTACTCAGGAGGCAGAGGTAGGTGGATCTGTGAGTTTGAGGCCACCCTGGTCTACAAAGCAAGTGCCAGGGTTATTACACAGAGAAAGCCAGTCTGGGGGGTGGAAATATGTTCTTAATTTGATTTCATACCATCATTTATTTCATTTTTGCCTTGCCTGGTTTTGTTAATCTCATGCTTCTATGGCTTTTGATAAAGGCAAATCCCTTTGCTCAGGTTTACCTGCCTGTCTGCCAGCATCTTCCTCCCCAACTTGTATCACCTGAACAACACCTGGTCAAGCCTGGGCTCCATTTCTTCCTCGTTCCCATTACAGAATTCTGTCATCGGCCTGGACACTATAAACAAGCCTGTATTTACTCACAAACACAGGGCAGGTGACAGACTGCCATACAGAAAGTCAGTCCTTGGGAGATAACTGTGGAAAATTTCATCTCCTTGTTTGTTTTTATTGTCGTTGTTTTGGGTTTTTTGTTTTGTTTTGTTTTAGAGACAGTATCTCTCTATATAGCCCTGGCTGTCTTGGAAGTCACTAAGAAGACCACGCCTTGAACTCACAGAGATCCACCTGCTTTTGCCTCCCAAGTGCTGGGATCAAAGGTGTGTGCCACCACCATTTCTGCTGGAAAATTTCCTCTTAAGGTCCTGAAATTGTCTATGAAAACTGAAGAGATGAAATTCCATCTTCAAAGTGGTTGCTCATATCAGCCTCCTGCACCTCTGTTTCCTAAGTAAACCTGATTCTTACACACATATAGATATAATTTAGGAAGATATTTTATTATATGGATTTGGCATCAAGGCTGAAGGTATAACTCAGTATCAGGGCACTTGCTTACCCTACTCAAGGGCCTGGGTTCCACCCTCAAAATCACAAGCAAACAATCAACTTTGTATCAGAAAGTACAAAGTAAGCACTTACTTAAAGAATATTTAAGTCTTTTCATCTGCAAACTAAAGGTGGTTTATAGTTTATAGCATGTTGTAGAATAATCTTTTTGTGCACTGTGAAGACGTGTCACTCTGATTGGTTAAATAAAAAGCTGAGTGGCTAATACCTAGGTAGGATTTTCAGGGCAGAGAGAACACTGGCAAAAAGAAGACAGAGATGCCAGTAGACTCAGAGCAAGCAGGATAGGCAATATGGAGATGAGGTAATAAAGCACGAGGCAGAAAGTAAATGAATAGAAATGGTTTATTTAAGTTATAAGAGCTAGTTAGAAACAAGCCTTAGCTATTGGCTGAGCTTTCATAATTAATAAGTTTCTGTGTCATTATTGGGGACCCAACAGTCTTGATGAAAAATTTACCTACATATGGTTATATATGCAGCTGTGTGTCTGTGTGTGAGTGATGTGTACAAATTCATAGAGTGCTACACCAGGATGAACATTTTAAATTACATTTTAAAATTACAAATTAATTATATAACCAAGGGAAAGCTTATATAATTGCATGTTATGTGTTCTTCAATGAATTAATTTCACTCTCTTCTATAATCTGCGGAGATGTAGCCCAATTGTAGAGCTCTTGTCTAGCATGTAGGACGTCTTGGGTTAAATTATCAACACACCATACAAAAAGAGAATGGCATTTTTTGCACACGATTCTTCCTTAAATAATATATTGTAGAATGGAAAAGAGAGGTTAGCTTTGCCTGAAAAATATAAAAATGCTTCTAGTGCACAGAATGTCCACAGTGGGCTGAATGGCTGATTGTGAAGTGAATGTGTTTATTGTGATGTAAATGTTTTATTGATGAATTTACTTTGTTTCCGCATTCACTTGTCTCCTGCTCTGAATCTTATGAGAAGTTCTGAGCTGCATGCATCACAGAGAGCCACCAGGGTATGAACTCAATGTGACACAGCCTGATGAAGTGTCCTTTTTACTCATTCTTGAATTAATTGGAGCCTCTGGTATTGCGGTTACTTCTAGATTCTCCCCATTAATTATATTAGTGCAACTTGACATTTTTGTACAGTACTACTTTAGTCCTGATTTTTGGGCATCGGAGTTTATCCCAGTTGACATCCTCAGTTGACAGTGGATACATCGGATGACACTTTCTTCTCCTATGGAGACATGTGTTCCCATGCAGAACTCTCGTAAATTATTTCTAAAAGTGAAGCAGAATAATAAGGTAAACACAGAAGGACAAGAAGATTTGGAGTCAGAATTTATTTATTGTTTCTTAAAACAAGGCATTCGCTTTTCCTGCTGTGTTTGTTTCTGACGGCTGAGGTGCCTGTGTGGAATGCAGCGGCTGGCCATTTCAGGGTGGTTTTCACACAGGATTAGTTTACCGTGGCGATCTATTAGTATGAGAATTAAACTAGACCTCAGGCTTTCCTCCTTTGGCCGGGGCTTTCCCTTTTCCATGCATTTGTGTGGTCTTCTTCTCTGGCTGTGGCCAGTTAAAGAAGCCAAATACTTTCTGATGCTTTTGCATCCAGAGACGGCTTCTGTGCCTCCACCCAGCCTTCCTTAGGCTGGCCTCTCATCACTTTGGCCAACAAGGTTTGACATTAAGTGCCACCGTGATGCCTCTGGGCTGAACTCTCAGAAGACCGGCAAATTCCTCCCTGGCATTTGAGTTATGATCCGCCTCTTAAATGGCTTGACCCTTCAGAGTCATTGCAGTGTCAGGCTCCAGGAATACAAAAAGGGGACCCAACCAAAGCCTGGCTTACAACTGCAGTCTGTCAAGTCTCTAGGCCCTTGTACAGAATCCTGTCTCCCCACTCCTCAAATTAGTCCAGCCACTGATTGGTTCCTTCCAAGAGACCCAAGGTAGTGCCACATGGGATGGAAAGATCACCTCAGAGATAATTGACTACATTCCTGAGACTCAGTTTCATGATACACAATGAGGTGATGTTCACCGCTTGGACTGTTTAGGAGGCAATACTCAACCAGAGCAGATCATGGAGGCCATGGTTAGTGCTACCAAAGTTATCATGAATGCATAAACATCATCATTACCATCAGCATCATCATAATTTATTAACTTTTGAAAATAAAAGCTAGTATTCAAACGAACATTGGCTTCTACCCCTACGTATTTCTAAATGAGTTAATATTAATGTTTCATAAACCAGAATGATGAAAATTCAAAATAATTTAATATATAATTTGTTTAAAATCTATGACTTCTACACAAACCAATTACTTTTTATCACTTTTGATCCATGGAGTGATGCAAATTTAGTAGACTGTGGACTCAAAAATAAAGGTAGTTTTAACAGTGTTTTGAGCAGAAGAAACTAAGAAAAGAAAACACAACCTTTTTTTTTTTTTAATTCAAAGGCCTGGGTTGCCAGACTAGAGGCCAAGGCCATTGTAGGAGAGAATGTTTCACACACCTGCCTCCTCAGCCAGATCCAGGTTCCTTCCTCTCTTTACTTTCCTGGGGCATTCTGCCAGGGAGGCCTCATTCTCCTATGGCGGACCCCTCTGTAACTTCTCCTCACTTAGAAACCGCTTGGTAACAGAGGAACTGCTTCCTCTCTTCTCTGCAGCCCCCTGGACCTAGGGGAAGCTGCATGAAGCTGTCCACAGGCATCATTTTTATGGAGTTGGTCCAGGGTAGGTCTCCTGACTGTCCCTGCACTTTGTTTAGGAAATACCACCGTGAAAGTCCACTCACCTGCAGCCCGATGGTCCCATCACCAGAACCCAAACCTCTGGAGTAGGGAAGGAAAGGCTTCCCACTGAGCCACTCTGCAGGAGAATCTCCGTGATGGCTGATGGAGAAGGGACCACCCCATGGTCAGAATGTTCACACCACTGTTCTTTACGTCAGACACAGGTCAAAAGAAGGACCAGACAACATGGTGTGAGCGACCCAGCATCCTTATTCACACTGGCTTGTTTATGAGACATTCTTCTCTGAGATCAAATCAGCTGGATGGATAAGACTACATTTGAAGCAGAGGAGAAATCCTTCTCTCAAACTCTTAATGTGATCTGTCAGTGTGACATGAGATCTATAGATGGTCCTACGTGTACCCAAGGCAACACATTGAGTAGTGGAGATGGCCTGTCACCTCCTGTCTAACATTTGTGGGAAAATCTTCTTAGAGCTATTTTTTTTAAAATTTATCACATTCTCCCTCCACCTCTCTCTCCCTGTCTCCTTTTCCTCCCTCCCCTCCCTCCT